CAGTCCTCCCCAAGCCTTACCAAACCCACCTTTAAGGCAGCCTGAACCAGCCAAAAACAAAATCCTTCTCAACTTAAAAAAAAAAAGACATTACTAGACACTACATAAAGAAACAAAGTAAGGCTATGAATTTCTCAGCATTATATGAAATAACAGTAAAGCTGGGACAAGAAACTCTTGTCTCAAAGTCCAAAGCTGCTTCCTTTTGTTTGACTGCATACTTTACCATATGACCTTGGACAAATCAATTGGCACTTCCTTTTTATAGTTTCCTCATATATAAAACAGGAAGAATACCTACAGTGCTATCCAAACTGATTTGGGAGAATGATCAAGTAGAGCAATTTATGTCAACATACTTTGGAAAATACAATAGAAAGATACATTTTTTTTTTAATGAGCAGAATATATTTATTGAAAGAAAGAAAGCTCCTGTCCCGAGAGAGGGACAGGAGGGGGGGCCAAGTGGGTAGTTCCCCCCAAGAAGTTGTCTCTTGCAGGGACTTTTATAGAGGAAAACCATGTGGTGAGGCGGATCTAAGGTGGTGGAGAAGACATGGGAACTGCTTAGTTGGGCATGAGGTGGGACAAAACTATGGTCAACCAATGGGATTACAAGCACCACTGCTCAGGTATAACTGATTAAATCCAGTAGAAAGACACATATTTTAAGGCATACCCAGTTTTCTTGGGGAAAACAGGGTATAAGGTACCAAAATGGTGAGCCACAGAGCTGTACTTCAGGTCATCCATATAACTTTATGACTAATAAAGACAAAAGGATCACTGTTCATAATCTTGTTATAGTCCCACTGTCCCCGCAAGGCAAACATCAAGCTGGCAAAAAATGTAATGTATTCACCTGTGCACCAGATTCTCAAACACCTGAATTACAGGAAAGAAAGACAGGTTTTGCCTGCCTTTCTTCCTAGAAGTAGAAACAACAGTTTTTGATAGTCTACCCCTAAAATTGTAATATCCTGCCTAAACCTCACCACAGTTTCATCTTTTACGTCTCAAACTTGCTCTGTCCAATACAATAAAATTTATAGGCACCTATAACTATTCAAATTTAATTTAAAAATTCAGGGGCTGGTGAGATGGCTCAGTGGTCTGGAGCACCTACTTAGAACAAGCTAAGCAAAAAATGCAGCGACCGCAGTTCAATCCCCCAGCACCACATGCCGGCCAGCCCCGCCCCCTGGTGTGCTGGGCTGGCCACACACACACACACACTAGATAAATAAATAAATAAATTTAAAAAAAAAAATAAAAATTCAGTTCCTAGTTACAATGGTCACATTTCACCTGTTCAATAGTACAGTTAGTACCATACTGGACAAACTAGATATAGATATGCCTTCACAATTACAAAAAAATCTATTTCATAGAGTTACTTTTATTTTTAATTACAACTCTGACCAACCACCACAGATTTATTTAGTTTTTTGTGGTCTTGGGACTCAAACCCAGGGCATTCAGACTGAGTTACAGCCCAGTCTTTTTTTTCCTTTCCTTTTCTATTTTATTGTTTGTGAGACAGAATCTCACTAAGCAGCCCAGGTTGGACTTAAACTTGTGACCCTCCATCCTTGGCCTGGGATTACAAGTGTGCAGGGACGGCTAAGCCCACAGACTTCTTGAGGACAGGAGTCATGTCTTACTTATCTTTGTATTCCTAATGCATGCTAAGTCCAGGTCAGATACCAGGTACTCACTACATATCTAAGTGGATATCTCAACTATAACAGACAATTTCGTCTACTTTCTCCTCCCCAATACACACACACACGCGCACACACAGACACACACACACACCATCCTCTCACATGGTAGGGAAGGGAAATAATATAGAAGAGGACACTGCACCCAAAGGCAGAAGAATTGTTTTCTAGTCCTAGAAACTAATCATGTAGTCTTTGGCAATACACTTAATTTCTTCATTGACAAAAACTTAGAATTAAACTCCAAAAGACCTTAATTTTAAAATTCTACTCATCTTGTGCAAAGGGAAATACAGATTCTGTCCAAATGGGCTTTGTTACTGTCAGGGAACACACTTGCTAACAATGATGAGAACTTCAAATTAAATGGAATCTACTCCTAGGACTCAGGCTATCATGACTAGAGTCATTTTCAGTCTTGAAGTAAACATGTGGAATTTTTCACTTTTATTTTAGAGGTAAATAACGACTTAAACTTCAGACTTAAAGATTTAGTTTCTTCCATGTGAGGATGCCAAAATCTGATATTCTGTCTTTATCTGATCAGAAAAATAAGGACAAGTTTTTTTAACATCTGAATTTAACACAATTTGTCCCATCAATCTCTGTACTAGTCCTAACCTAAACACTGAGAAAACAATATATAACTCAAATATGAAAACCATCCTATAAAAATATTTATGCTGAAGAATTACATGAATGTATATTTTTATTCAATCCACATACCTCAACATTTAACCAAAAAAACTTTATTATCCAAAAACCTCCTCATACTGATCTTCACAAACTCACTCACTTACTTTAAGTAACCTTACATGATTTTAAGACCAGCCAAGAACAAATACAGAGTTGTGGGCCTGCTTTCCTTAACAAGTTATAAATATCGCAAAACATGTATGGTAAAGCTGTTGTAGTACTCAGAAGGCTAAGGCAGAAGGATTGCCAAGTTTGAGGCCAGCCTGGGCAACTTAGTGGAATCCAGTCACGAAATTAAAAGGCCGGAGCCAGGGAGATGGCTCAGTGGAATAAGCACTTCCCTGGCAAGCGCAAGGGCCTGAGTTCAATCCCCGGTTCTGCAAAAAAAAAAAAAAAAAAGGCCGAGGATGTATCTTAGCACTTCCTAGGTTCAATCCCAGGTTCCAGGGAAAAGAAACCTTATGTGGGGTGATGTCGGTCTAGAAATCCTGTAATGAATTTATACAGGGTTTGTCAATTCCTCTGATATCAAGGTTCTACTACCAATTACACATTTCTTATGTCATCTCTCTTAGTAAACAGGATTAACTGCCAACAGCAGTTCCATTTATTTGCACCAATAACATTTAGTGAACATTTTGTGGGGGAGGGACACATGCAAATGCCTATTGGGAATAGGAAGGTTTTCATTATAAAACTGTGTCTGCTTACAATGAAACCAAACATTAAAAATCAACCAATACTGAATGTCTTGTACATGGTTAGCCCTATATAGTGCCTTGCCAGTGGTAAGAACTCTGTATCTTTGTTCAACTGGTATATAAACTAAAAAGCCTAACTACAGCATTCTCAAGAAAAAAGAACAAAACTCCATACACCAAGAATCACTAAATATCTTTTACAAAAATATAAAGAGACAAAGTCTGTTTGTAGTATAAAGTCTGCCTATGACTCAAAGACTCAAACATTGCTTTAGTAAAGAGCTTTGTGAATCTGTGCCAAAGAAGGGGGGGGGGTAATACAGAGACGGAGAAAACATGATGTTGCCCTCAAATTGACCCTAATCTAGTAGAAGACACAGAAGTACACCACAGAAAAATGACTACTAAATTCCATTATGAAGTGCTAAAGCGCAGAAAGAACAAAAACAAAAGTGAATGGCTGTCAGGGACAGAGGCATCTTCAAGGGAATGTTGGAAGTTATGCAGCAGCAGGGACAAGATGTGTAAGACAGCAAAAGAGTACAGGGATAGAGTGGTAAGAAAGCCTGGAAGGCTATCTATGAAAAGGAACATTTGCAAAAACCACCCAAAGATTAGATTCCATACTTATGACCACTGTATATTAGGAAAACTGCAAACAAGCAGTTTTCCATAAGATGTATGTATACATGATAGAGTTAGGCTTGGTGGTGCTCACCACACATGGTGACCCGTGCATGTAATTCCAGCACTCAAGAGGTTGAGGCAGGAGAACAACCTCAAGTTCGAGGTCAGCCTTTGCTACACAGTGAGTCCAGGGCTAGTGTGAGCTAGAGCCTGTCTTTAAAACAATAATATATTTTAAATGGAGGCAGAATTTCTGTAGAGAAAAATTACTTGACATCCCCACAGCTTATCACAAGATACAGCCATAGTCAGTGAGCATAATAAAAAGATCTCTGTGGTTGTGACTGGAACTTGCAGGTTTAAAAAGTACCCATTTCTCTAGTAGTTATGCTGGAGAAACACACCTTCAGAGATAGATAATTATCTACTATCACCATTCTCAAACTCTTGCTGCACACCAGTATCATTAGGCGATCGTCAAAATACATAGGCATCTGTCTTCCACTCTCTAGACATTCTGATTTAATTGGTCTGGATGGCTATATTAGCATCAGGAATCTTTAGAGGTTTCTCAGTTGCTACCGTGCTGCAAAGTTGGAGAACCAATGACCTAATTGTTAAGACCTTTGACTCTGGAGTTATATTCCAGGATACTAGGGTTCAAATTACCAGCTATGTGACCTTGGGCACTTGTCATCTTACCACTCAGGCCCTCAGTTGTCCTGTCACTAAAATGGGAAGAATAAAACCACCTTACAAGGTTATTGTGAAGTTAGACTTACTGAACGTACTGCCTGGAGAAAGGCCTGGTGGACAGCAAGCGCTTGGTCTGGGTTCGCTGTTTACTCTCATCACTAACTCGTCCTCATCTGAGCGTCACCGTGCAATGGGGAGCATCCTCCTCACTGGGCGGCAGCAACTCTTACCAACCTTTCTTTCATCTGGACCAAATTCTTCGCAGTTATCTCCTCCGCACCAGACCCGCCCCCTCCCCGGGGCGGGCAGAAGAGCGCGGCGCCCGGCCCCGGCAATTCCCAAGGCGAGGCTGGGTTTGCACAGACCCCACAGAAGTCTCTCCCCACCCTGAATCCCCCAGAAATTCGGGGATGCGCTTCCGAAGGCCGGGCTCCTATAACACTCAGAGCCAAAAAAACAAGCCTCTGCCGACCGGCCACCGCGGGAAGGAAGAAGACACCAGAGAGAGTAAGAGGAGAGGAGGGTCCGGCCACGGCGAGGCCGACCTCCCGGTTACCTGAGGCGACGGGCGGGGCCCGCATCGCTGGGGCGGGCGCGCCGCCGACGGCCGCACTCGGCCTTCTGCCTCACGCGACCCGCGCCATAGGGTCTGCGCTTTCACTGCCCCGGCCAGCCTTCCGTCCGTCCTCAGGCGGTCAGTACCTCTACTCGTCAATGTTTCTCCTAGGACGCCCGCGGAAGACCTAGGCCGGTCGGGCCGGCCGGCTAGGCTCTGCTAAAGCAACTTCCGACTGCCAGGGGCGGCGGCGTCAAATAACTCCCCGGCTGAGTGGGTCACTGCGCGTGCGCAATGCGCCAGATCAGACACTTCTACGGGGCAAACTGGCGGCGTCAAATAACTCCCGAGACCTGGAGCCGGAAGCTGCGCGTGCGCAGCTATCCCAGAAGGCCGCGCGAAGCCCATTCGTTCCTTCCTTTCAGAGAGAGGGAGGAGTGAAGTGACGATTGCGTCTACCTCATCAAGGCGCAGCGAGACATACTCTCCATCTCTGTCACTATGAATCTTACAACGTTCTAGATTTCACCTGTCATCGGTGCGGAGGAGTGAAGGGCTGCTCCGCGAGATTCCAGCTGCCACTCAGATTCTAGGAATTTCGTATATCCCGCCAAGCTCTCTTGCTTTGAAATGATGCCCTACACCGGCTCGTTATTAAATGGACGCAGCATTAATTATGAACAATGCCCTAGCCAAACCAGGTGTGAATTAAAAAGATGAATCAGACATCAGATTCCGAGCCTATCATTAAAGAGCTGAGCCTGATACAAGAGCTTTTAGCTCCTGCAATGCACCCGGTACATTGCAAACAATACCATTTTCAATATTTTGGGTTCAACAAAGAATATTATTAGAGAAGTATCGCTCAGCTCAAGCACCTTCGGAATGTAAAGAAAACTTGGACTGAGAGAGGAGAGGAATGATGGAATTCTTCCTGCATGTCCTGGCCTTGAAACTGACCTTCGATAACTGGAAGGGGAGGGAAAGATGTTGAGTTATGCCAAAAGCACGGTTGTTTGATAAGAGCAGAATGGATGGAGCAAAGAAAATGTTCTCACACTCAAAAGGAGGAGTTGAAGAGATAGAGACAAAAGAACTGGTATCCTCGGAGAAGGGATAAAATATAAACGTGTCTCAGGATCACCCTCCAGGAAAGTAGCTATAGGAAAGAAGAGAAAAAGGATTTCAAGCCTACTAGGGTTTTGTAGATCATGCAATAAAGCTAACACCGTGACAAATACTCTAGGAAGCTCACCCTATTCCAACCACCTCACCCTTCCCTTTCTACAGAAAGACTAAATTTAAAGCAAAGTACACAGTACCCCAGCTTCTATAAAGGAGTGACAAGTCCTAACCAATGAGATCTAGAACAAGCACAAAAGGATATCAAGAAAAGTTGTGGAGAAAGTGTGTGTTCTTTACTTTTCCCCTACATAATGGTTGAAACTGAAATGAAAGCAAAGAACTAAAAGGAGCCTGGTTCTTCCATAAGTAATGCACAAACCTTATGCTACCATTTTGTCTTCTGAAGTCTTATACCACAGTTGGTTGAGCTTTCTGTTACTTATAACCAATCACATTTCTAACGCTGATTATTGAACACCTGTAAGATATCAGATAAGCGTGATGAATTAGAAGAGTAACAGTGGATGGTAGTTGGAAAATTAATAGGCACAGAAAACTGAGAAGCTGTTTAAAAGCCTTCAAGATAATGAAAATAACTCTATTCTCCATCTGAGGCCTTAATTCCTTCCTAAAGTTGTGCTTTTAAGGAACATTATTAAATGAAAAACATGGACATTTCCCTTAATTTAAATGAGGAAAGTGTTCAATTCCAACCTAAGACACTCAGATAGTTTATCATTTTTATTTCACAAATATAGTGTAAAAAGGGACTAGGGAGAAAGCTCAGTAGAATAAGTGCTTGCCTGGCAAGCACAAGGGCCTGAGTTCAATCCCCAGTTCCGCAAAAAAATAAAATAAAAAAATAGTGTTAAAGAAAATAACAATAGAGACTGGTGAGATGGCTCAGTGGTCTAAAGCACCTACTTAGAACAAGCTTAGCAAAGCACAGGGACTGCAGTTCAATTCCCCCAGCACCACATGCCAGCCAGCCCCACCCCCTGGTGGGCTGAGCTGGCCACACAAATAAATAAATAAATAAATAAAAATAACAATAAAGAATCCTGCACATTGTTACCCTGCTTATCAATCACTATGTTGGTTTGCTTGTTTCCATAGTATTCCCTTGCATAACTATACTTGCCATGCTAAGTAAGTTTTCTATTGTTTTGTTGTTGTTGTTGTTGTTATTTCCCATTTGAAATACAGTAAGTTGGGCTGGGGAAATAGCCCAGCAGTCTAAACACCTGCCTGGCAAGTACAAGGAACCAGTTTCGACCATGTGGGCCACTGAAACCAGGTGTGGTGGTGCATGCCTGTAATCCCAGTGCAGGGGAGGTGGAGACAGGAAGAACACTACAAGTCCAAGCTGTGTAGCAAGACCCTGTTCCAAATAAATAACAGATTTAAAAATATATGAAAATACAGGGGCCAGGGAGATGGCTCAGTAGAATAAGCGCTTCCCTGACAAGCACAAGGGCCTGAATTCAATCCCCGGTTCCAAAAAAATACAGTAAGTTGGCAACTTACATTGGAATTTTGAATTTTCAGATGTGAATGGATAGCATTACCAACTTTCCTAGATTCGAACAAATCACAGAAGTCATTCACCTTAAATCTTTACTATCATTTTAAGGTAACTGTAAAAATAAAAATAGTTTATTCACAGTATTTTTGTGTTACAGTTTTTTTATGCTTTACATTGTATATTGCTATCAAAGACTCACTTTATCGGATTTACAAACAAAACTGATTTGTGAATGTTTTCCCAGAAAGGAACTCATTTGTAAGTTGGACAGTTATTATACCAGCATTAATTTTTTTTTTTTTTTAGCTCAGGATCAGCAGGGTCTCACTACACAGATTGGACTTGTAATGATTCTCCTGTTTTCAGCCCCCCAAGCACTGGGATTATAGGTGTGCGCCACCACGCCCAGTCTCAAACACTACCTCAGCGCGACCCAGGGATGGGGCTGGCATGGCACACTGGGGATCGAACCCCGGTCACTGCACTCTGCCTAAGCAGGCACTTTAGTCCACTGAACTATCTGGATGGCCCACCCAGCATTTAATTTCATCATCTAGTTGTTTTTAATTTTTCTTTTAATCGACACACAGGAGTTCTACATGTGTGGAATTTCACAAATGTATAATGATCAGATTGCAGTAACTAGCATGTCTGTCACCTCAGACATATTTCTTTATGTTCCACACAATCGAAGTCTTCTGCTGGATACTTTGGTATAATTAATTCTTATCAACTATTGTTACACCTCTGTGTTGTAAAAAACTAGAAGTTATTCCTCTACACAATCACATCCCTGCTTCCGTAGCCACTCTTGTCATCCATCCCTTCTCCACATTTTTCTCCATTTCTTTGATATCAACTCTTTAGCTTCCACATATATGAGAACATGGGTTGTCATTCTTTGTGTGTGTGTGTGTGTGTGTGTGTGTGTGTGTGATACAGAAAATCGAACTGAGAACCTTGTGCTTGCCAGGCAGTCACTTTATGCTGCTGAGCTATCTCTCCAGCTCCATGTGTTGTCTTTATATTTCATGTAACATAATGACCTCCAACTTAATTGACATTGCTCTAAATGATAAAATTTCATCTTTTTTCAGCTGAATAGTATAGTACTAGGATAAATATAATACATTTTCTATGTTTGTGCATCAGCAGACACATAGGCTGATTCCATATTTTAGCTGTTATTGATACTGCTGCAGAAAGCATGCAAGTGCAGATGTCTCTTTGACATACTGATTTCAGTTCCTTTGGATAAACATCCAGTAGTAGGATTGCTGGATCATATATTAGTTCTATTTCTAGTCTCACTACGTAGGTCAGACTAGTAGTGATCCTCCTGTGTCAGCCTCCCCAGCTCTGGGATCACAGGCATGTGCCACCACCCCCTGTTTTGGTGGCTGGCATGATGCACAGCATGCTGTATCAGGGATTGAACTGGATCCTTGCCCTTGCCTGGCAGGCACTTAGACCACCCAGCTATCTCCCCAGCTCCTGTTTCTAGTTTGGTGGTTTTTTGTTGTTGTTGTTGTTGTT